AAAACAATACAATACAGTTTTGAAATTACAAATCCCATGAAAGGAATTTTGTCTATTTCCAGCATCGAAAAGCTTTCAATAATTACAATTCTTTTTAATTACGATTTTGTTCATCTTTTACACGTTTAATTACAATTTGCGTTTTGTTATCCCCAATGACGAGCCATGCTTCCACTTGTTCGGCAGTGAAAGGACAGCATTCTTCGCTTTAGCCGCTATTTACCAACAACTAAAAATTCCATTCAACACAAAAGAGCTAGCTTACATTTTTGCGTACAAAGCACTCCAAAGACTACATTGAAGTGTGGAAACATCTTTGAAATCCTAATGTCCGATTTCAAAGATGGCTGCACCCCCGGTTTGAATGGGACGGGCCTTTGCTACGGGAGATCAAACGGCGTGTCAGATTTTCCGTGTTTTTTAATTAAAGCCAGGTCTAAAAACGCTCTTTGAAGGTGACACAGCTGCTGTAGTTTGTTTGCGCCGTTCAAAGTCTGATATTGTCTCCACTTTGTTCTTCAGTGAGAGTGAGTGAAGGTTAGGAGAATCAAGACAACAAGTGCGTCCAAACACCTGGCAGCAAATACACGGACCAAAAAAAAAAAAAAAAAAGAAAAGAAAAAAAAGAAAGAAACAGACACACGTACACACACGAATGCTGAGAAACTGACACGGAACTAGCAGAAGCGGTTTATACTAAGAAGAAACATTGTAGTTTTGGGGAGTATTTAGTAGCTTGATTCATCAGCGAGTTTCACTTCGTAGAAACCGTGTGACCTCACAGCATTAGAATTCGTTCGCTCGATGGTAGGCGGGTACTTTTATTATTTAACCAATCACTGCTGTTTGGTTGTTGCGTATGTAATGCGCCACTAACAGGGCTAAGTGGTATATTAAGCTTTTCCCAAATCTCGTAGGAAGAAGGGCAATAACGTCTTTCCCTTTGATAAAATTCACCAAACATTCTCTTTGTTCCCGCTTTAAATCCTCAATCTCGGGAATCGTTGCCAACACAGAATGTATGACTCTTCGCTGGACTCGCACTTCCAGGGTTCTTGCAAACCGTCTAATGTATTCTGATTCCTGACCTAGTTACTGGAGAGAAATGAAACTGAGTGGAGGCACTAGGTGGAACCAGCCTGGCTAAGTATTTAGTATAAAAGGTCCTACATTTCGCAAAATTTACTCTTGTGAGCTTTAAGTCGGGGTTATAATGTAGTTATCTCCTCACACAACTCCTGAGAAAATGACACGGAACTAGCAGAAGCGGTTAATACCAATGAGAAACATCATGGTTTTTGGGGACCTTTTGTTTTTTTGGCAGTACAAAAAGTCCTACATTCCACAAAATTTACTCTTGTGAGCTTTAAGTCGGGTTATAATGTTACCTCCTGACACAACCGTGAGAAACTGACACAGGACTAGCAGAAGTGGTCAATATCAATAAGAAACATTGTGGTTTTTGGGCAGTATTTGGTAAAAAAGGGTCTAAGTATTTAGTATAAAAGGTCCTACATTACACAAAATTGACTCTGGTGAGTTTTGAGTCACATGATAATGTTGTTACCTCCTCACATAACTGTTGAGAAACTGACACAGAACTAGAAAAAACGGTCAGAACCAGTAAGAAACAATGTGTTTTTTTGGGAGTATTTAGTATAAAAGGTCCTATATTACGCAAAATTGACTTTTGTGAGCTTTAAGTCAAGTTATAACATTGTTACCTGCTCAAAAAACTGTTGAGAAACTGACATGGAGCGAGCAAAAGCGGTTAATACCAGTAAGAAACAACAAGTTTTTTTGGAAGTATTTTGTATGAAAGGTCCTACATTACGCAAAATTGACTCTTGTGAGCTTTAAGTTAACTTATAACATTGTTACCGCCTCACACAACTGCTGAGAAACTAAGACAGAACTAGAAAAACTGATTAATATTAGTAAGAAACATAATGGTTTTTGGGGAGTATTTAGTATAAAAGGTTCTACATTATGCAAAATTGGCTCTTGTGAGCTTTAAAGTCAGGTTATAAAGTTGTTACCTCCTCACACAACTGCTGAGAAACTGACATGGAACTAGATAAAGTGGTTAATACCCGTAAGAATCATTGTAAGTTTTGGGGAGTATTTAATATAAAAGGCGCTAAGTATTTAGTATAAAAGGTACTACATTACGCAAAATTGACTCTTGTGAGCTTTAAGTCGGTTTATAATGTTGTTACCTCCACACACAGCTCCAAAGAAAATGACACAGAACTAGCAGAAGTGGTTAATACCAGTAAGAAACACTGTGGTTTTTTGGGAAGTGTTTAGTATAAAAGGTCCCACATTACACGAAATTGACCCTTGTGAGGTTTAAGTCATGTTATAATGTTGTCACCTCCTCAAAAACAAACCTGGAGTTGTGTTTTGTTTCAATCACACATTTCAGTAACCCTTTATTATCAGTCTGTACATCTCCATAGCTCAAAATGCTCTGTTCCACCTTGTGATGTCATGAAGCGCCAGTTTCCACATTAACAACTTTTTACTTTTTACCTTTAATTCTGAAGAGATTGGCAATTCCAGGACTCAAAATCATCCAAATGATTAAAAACACAGTGGAGCACTTCCTGTATTACTTCATGACATCACAAGGAGGTATGGTACGTCTTTGATGAGGAAACAACATTATAACAGATCAGTAAATATTAGGGATGTAACGATATCCAAATCTCTCGGTAGGATATTATCATGATATGCATCTCACGGTACGATATTTATTGCGATATTTTGCAGAGGCTAATATAAATTGTAGATAGGACATTTTTTTTGCTTTTAAAATACCTTGACATGATTTTGGTGTAAATTATTACCATCATAATCCCAAGAATTTAAGTAAAAAAACATATCTCTTCTTGTTGTCTGTGCTGAAATGAATCATGGGATATGTAGTTCTCTATGTTTATTAGCTTTTCCTACTAAAGCAGAATGCATTTAAGTAAAGGAGCTTATAATTCGATATACTGTGACAGCCCACGATATTATTGTGAGACTAAATGTTTAACTTTTGATCTGTGAAAGGAGCAGGGTTTATAAGATTTATCTTCTTTCTGTTCCTTTTGTTCATGCAGCAAAGACGAGGCCAAAAAATCACAGAAATATGTATGTATTTATGTTAATTTTCAGATTTGTTGTTGTTGTTGTCCTCTTTAAGTCGATGCCAACAAAATAATAGTATGAGCAATAAATAAATAAATAAATGTGACTTCTGATATGATATCACGATATTTCAGTTATTGTTGCATCCCAAGTACATAGTGTAACATAGGCCCTTCAAATGATGACATTGGTCCATACTGTAATGGAAACTGCAATACTGATCCAAAAAATATCAGTGTCACCAATACATGTTTGAGTAATTTAGCGATCTTTCCCGGGACTTACTACGGATAGCTATAAGATTCTGTGCAAAGCTCCACCCAGGAGATTAAATCACCAATCCTCCCACGCGACAATTCTTCATAAATACGAAGAAACATGATACAAAACCGTACGCAACGACTTCACAAACCTGACGCGATGTGCAAAAGTTTCAGTTGCGGGATGCGTGCAGATTACGTTGCGATCGCGCTCTGAAGGGGGAGTGAGGCGGGACGTAGAGTGTCAAAAATGTAAATGAAAATGACAAAATGTGTTAGTGCGTCGATTTTGATGAATATAACATTTTCAAAGCAACATCGTGATCTAAATCTGTTACGTGTTAGTCGTTAATACTCCAGAGAAGTAAAATACAGCCTCTTTAATGATCAAAAGACCTGACAGACCCTCCTCGTGATGATTTTAGAGGGAGAAACCAAAGGAAACCTACAGGGAGAACACGCAAACTCCACCCAGAAACCACTGCTCTATAGAACAATATATTTTGGGGGCTCAGTATATATCGTGTGTACATTTTATTTGCAAAATTCTCTTTGTCTTATTTATCTTGTCTTATTTTCGTTGCAATATGAAAAGATTTGAGCTGTAGAGAGTTGAATAAGTCACTTCTATGGCTAATTATTGCTTCATTCTGTTATTTATTTGTTTCAGCTCAGACCTTTTAATGATACTTCTAAATTATGATTATATTTGTTGGGATTATTTTCCTTTGTTTTAATTGTATCAATGGCTAAAATACTTTCCATATTATCATTTATTGCAATATACACTACTGGTCAAAAATGCACACACACTTTGTCATTATTTTTTTCTTTTTCTTTATGTTTACTTCTTTCTACATTTTAGATCCACACAAAAGGCATTTACAAGCAAGATGTATGGAATTATATAGCAAAGAAAATACTAAATAACTCTTTTTATTTTGAAATCCTCAGAGTATCCACCCTTTGCTTTGTTGACAACACTGTAAACTCTTGACCTTCTCTCAGTGAGCTTCATGATGAAGTCTCCTGAAATGGTTTTCAAGTCACGTCAGGGTCAAAAAAATGTCACAAGAGCAAACCAGGGCTCAAAGCAAAGTGTGGCTATTTTTAAAAATCTCAAAATAATTTTTGGTAATTTGAGTTTATTTTTTGTTTCTACGTGCCTTCAGTAGAATGTGCAGTGTAAATAATCAGGGAAATAAAGCAAAGACATAATTGAGTGTGTCCAAACTTTGGCCTGGTAGTGTGCGTCTGTGGCGACATCGTGCTTCAGAGTGTGTTATGGTGACAGGCGTGCACCCAAAATGATTAGCTTTGAGGCTGTATGTACAAAGTGAGCGATGAAAGCGTGGCTAACAGCTCCGAGTGCTGGAGGAGCCCAGCCTGCTGCACACTTAAAAGAGCCTGGGCAGGGCGTTTCATGTGCCCCCACGACCACACGGCCACCGCCCCCTTTCATGTGCCTCTCACACAGGAAACAAGGGCCCCGCATGTTAATGAGCACATTTAAGACACTGACTGCTGCGGCTTTAAGAGGAAGACCCTCTGTACAGCAGAGCCCCGTGTGAGCGCCGCTCTGTGATCATGTGTAAAGGATACAGTGGAGCTGGAGTAGGGAGAGATGTCAGACATGTCCTGCAGGTCTCCACACTCAGACTTGATGAGGGACAGTGACAGGGCATCTGGGTGAGGGGAGCTCTGCCGGTGCTGATGGTGACTCAGACCCAGGTTCATCTTGGTCCTCAGGCTGATGGTGTCCCGGCTCATGTCCAGGGAGTCTGGGGAGACCCTGTGGTGGTCCTTGGGTCCGTGTGGATAGCCTGGGCCTCCGTGTGACCCCAGGGGGCCTTGGAAGGGATAGCCCATCAGGGGCAGAGGGAATGGGTGTCGAAAAGATGGAGGGCTGAAGCCCAAAGAGGCTGTGAGGGGGGAGGGGTGGAGAGAGGGGTGGTGAGGGGGAGGAGGAGGGGGCAGGGAGTGTTCGCCGGTGTCCGGAACCCCGCTTTTTCGCACCACCAGGGGGAGGGCTTCTGTCTGGTCGTTGGCTGTGGGCACAGCGCTCAGTCTGCTGAGCCCGCTGAAAGTGTCCAGGGGGCTGGGCACCAGCACGTCTCCGAAGCAGTGCAGTCTCTGATTGGACGAGTGGAAGTTTGGGGTGGGGCTACTGTCACTGTTCAGAGTCAGGCCCAGACCACCTCCTCCGAACCTGGACTCTGGCGTGAGAGAGGGAAGGGGGGCGAAGGGGGGAGGACAGGAGGAGGAGGAGGTGGAGGAAGAGGGGGCGGCCGGCGTGCTGCTGCAGCCCTGCACGCTGCTCTGCTTTGGGGAGGAGAAGCCTTTAACCACCGTGTCCACCACCTGTGACACCGCACAGTTCAGCTCCTGCTTCAGGGTCTCTGCCAGGTGCCTCCCGCCAGGTCCTCTCCTCTTCAGCCTGCTCCTGTCCTCCTCCTCCCTGTCCTCCTCCAGCTCTCCATCCATCAGAGCCTGCTCTCGCAGCAGCGCCCGCGCTCTGTCCAGAAACAGGCCGGGGTCCAGGTCGGACAGGTCGTCAGGGCGCCCCCTGTCTCTGTGGCTGTCCCTGTGCCTGTCCTCCAGCCCGTCCGAGCGGATACTGTCCTCAGACATGTTCCCGTCCTCCTCCCTGTCTGCTCCGCGCTCTGCTCCTGTGTCCTCGTCCTCTGTCTCCGAGTCATAGATCTGATAGAACTTCTCCTGCAGCTGCCGCAGCTGTTTCTGAAAAGCACACAGTGTGTGAGGAGGTGTGTGTTATTGTATATGATTATAAAAACACACAGTGTGTGAGGATGTGTGTTACTGTACATGATTCTACAGACACATGGACCACAGACCGGGCCCTGTGTGTGACAGGTGCTCACCTGCATGTCCTCCAGCTGCAGTCGGAGCTGTCTCCGCTCCTCCTGTCTCTGCTCCTGTCTGGAGCACACTAGTTGGGTGAAGCTGTGCTGCTGCTGGGGCAGCCGCTGTTTCCTCTTGTTCTCTCGGTACACCTCCACACTGACCCCTCCCCGTGAGCCCGGGGAGCCCAGGAGAGAGGAGCCGTGGTGGGTGTCCCCTCTGTGGGAGTCCCCTCTATGCTCTGTGCCGTTGCTGTCGTCTCTGCCCGGCTCTCCAGTGCTGGAGCGCACCAGGGGCGAGTGGCTCATGCCGCGGATGATGTTCTCCACACGGGCGCGCTTGGCCCTCAGGTGCTCATCTGACAGACGGTCCAGGTCGAAGGAGGACAGGGCCAGAGGCTGAGAGGGGGCGAGGGAGGTGAGCAGGGAGGCAGGAGGAGGCCCTCTGAAGGCAGAGGAGGAGGCCGGGGGCAGAGGGGGCAAAGGGGGCAGAGGGGGACCTGGGGACAGGCAGTCGGACGGACTGTCTCTGTCCCTGGAAGAGTTACTGCAGCCGTCCTCCCCCTGGATCTCTGAGCCCCCGCTGGACATGGCCCCACTGCCCTGAGGACAGAGGACACAGGACAGAGGCTTTAGTCACACGTCTGTGTTGTGTGTGAGGAAAATAAGATTCACTGTATATATAACATATGTCTACAGTGTGTATATGTGTGTGTGTGTGTGTGTGTGTGTGTGTGTGTGTGTGTAGTGTGTGTAGTGTGTGTGAGTGGAGTGGAGTGTGGTGCACCTGGAAGCCCGAGTCGCTGCCTCCGTTCTTTGCCATGTTGCTCTTGAGGAGCTGGGAGATGATGGTGGCCCCGGGGAAGGGCATCAGGGCGTCTTCATAGGAGTTCGCCCTCTTCAGCAGCTTTCTGAGGACATTGGACTTCTCGCTGTCGCCATTAGACCCTCCGTGGCCGTGGCTGACCAATGAGCAGTCCCCGTCCTGCTCGGCGGCGTGTGATTGGTTCATGCTTTCGTAAGAGTCCCGGGCGCGGCTGTAGATGGTCCTCTTCACGCCGATATCCACTCGTCTGCGCTTGGTCTGTGCGCTCAGGAGGGCGCTGTCATGATCAGGCATCCCGCAGGGCAGCTACATGGGCACGCACAGGGTCCTCGCCAAGGGAAGGGCTCCGGGCGTCCTGGACAACAACAGGGAGACGTGGTCATGAGGCATGGGCAACTGAAGGATACTAACAAGATCAAATCCTCACTTTTGAACAAATAGACAGAGGAAATACACCATTCACTTGAACTGTATCCCTGACAGCCCTGGTTTAGTCCTTGTTTAGACCTGGTTAATCCTGGTTTAATCCTGGTTTAGTCCTGGTTTAGTTTAGACCTGGTTTAGACCTGGCATAGACCTGGTTTAGACCTGGTTTAGTCCTGGTTTGTGGACACATGTACATCCTACCCGCCCTGTTCAAATCTTTGCAACTTGTTGGTAAAGATTTTGTCCCATCAGTCCAGGTTCAGATCTGGTTCAGTTCTGGTTTGGCCCTGTTTGAACAGGACTACCACCTGTCTGTCTGTCTGTGTTTAGTCCTGTTTATTCCATTTCACATCCCATTGATTCAGTCCTGGTTTAATCCTGGTCCTTTTCTCTAAATCAAAATTTCCTTAAAGCCAACAATTACAATTACAACAAATACATAATAGTTTTGAAAAAAATATTAAAAAGAATATATATATATATATATATATATATATATATATATAATATATATATATATATATATATATATATATATATATATATATATATATATACACACACACACATATGCACACACACACACACACACACACACACACATAGAGTGGTATACAGAGTGGCTGTTATTGTGGCAAACTTTGTGCAGTTGTCTAAATGTTAAATTGCTGCTGAAATCCCACAGAGGAGTCGCAGCTGGCGGCTCGTCTCTTGCGGCTCGTCGTGCGCACGGAGCTCTGACCGCGGTGCGCTATTTGTGCGTCTTTAGTTTGTCCGCAGGCCCGCGCGGGTTTCACTTCACATTCATAAGTACAACACATTCTGGCTAAAGACACAAAAATAACCGCTCACGCGAAGAGGTGTAAAAAGATTTGCGTGTGTTTGTGCGTGTCAGAGCGGATTTGCGTGTGTTTGTGCCTTGACACGCAAATGCAGACAGACTTTTCCCACTTTACATCTGTTTTGAATAAATTCATCGATTTAGGAAAATATTTTTGGGAAGTCAAGTTACGCACAACAACTGTAAGAGCCTTTGGCGGCTCCTGTTCTGAGCGCAGATGTGTTTTCTGAGAGCTCCTCCCCGGTGGAGCTGTCACTGGGGCCGCTCACACTCAAGTGAAGTCGGTCAGCGCAGCTCCGGTGAGCCCGGTGTCCGGCACTGACCCACTTCCAGTCAGTGCGTCCTCTGCGCGCGCTCCTCACGCACAGGCCAAAGTGTGTTTAAAATCATGTACGTGATGAAGAGCAAAGAGGAATATACACACTGCAAAAAGCTTTAACTGAAGAAAAATATGACACACACGCGCGCCGAAGTGATCTGCTGTGAACACTAAATAATATAATGGTGTGGAAACACACAGGCTACAGTCTACATTTTGTAGTGACATTTTACTGAAAGAAACAAGCGTATCCCCTTTTATTTCAAATGTGTCAAGTGTATCGCAGCTAAAAGTAAAAAAAAAAAAAAGTGTGTTTCTGAAGTACGCAGGAGTGTAACATCAGTGCCCTGACCGCGCGCTCCGAGCGGACTGTGCCGCTGTGCCCGCGGGACACACCGTCACCTCAGGCGGACACAGATTTCGACCTCCCAGAACATCACTGAGGAAAAGTCTCTAGAACTGTTTGCATGGAAACAAAAGCTGCTGTTGATCTAATTTAATTCAGGCTTTCGTGACACGAGTCGGTGAAAACACTCTGAGAAGTGTCAGTGAGCAGACACTGGACTACACACTCTAAAGAGAATCATCTAAAACACGAGGCGATGGAATAAAGTTCACGAACAAAGATCCACACATTTAAACTGCTTCACTTGAAACTTTCTCCAGTGTCTCTCCGCGGCGGAGACCACGCGGCTCTGTCCAAGTGTTTCATACAACAAGAAGTGTTTACATAACAAGCCGAAATGACGCTCTGCTCCGGGTGCACACAGCACCGGGGTCTGCCGTGAACCACACGTCCCGGTGTCACGGACATATCCCCCACGCGCGCACAAAGCACACGGAACTAAACAGGGCTCACAAAGCAAAACACGACAGGTTCAAGTTGGCACTTACTTGTTCCTCTCGTTCCTCGGAGCGACTCCTTCGAAGAAACTGCGCACACAGGAGACTGCTCTGTGCGGACTTTACTACGGGGAAGTAGAGGCGCACAGAGCGGAGTGTGCGTGCGTGCGCGCGCGCGTGCGTGCGTGCTCGGTGAGAGAGCAGCTCGTAGACAGTGTGAGAGAGACACCGCTCTCCTCCGGGATGAGCAGTGTTTAGTATCGAGTGCACCGTTCAGTCCAACAATCTCTCCACATTCGCCTCGAAGCCGCCTTCTCCTCTGACCGACGGCAAGACTCTTAATAAGAAACAACAAGAGAGCCGCGTGAAGGATACGTGAAGACGCTGCGTCATCGCTCCACCTGACCAATAAGGAAGGAGCCGGCCACGACGGAGGGTGCTTATAAGGAGCCTCGAAGCAACGAGCTGCCAGAGCGCAGGGAGAGAGCGCGCAGAGAGAGCGCAGATCACACTCTGTGGCGGCACTGCGCGGCACCGCGCGGCACAGACAGTCCAGACACCGCGCCGCGCGCACTACACTCGCTAAACTTAGTACAGACCGTGAAGTGCTCCTCCAAACGGTCAGCGCGCACGGACACACGCATCTGGAGGTTTATCTCACTTGTATTTTACATCTTTATAATATCAATATTCATTTTCCATGATCAAACATGTGCTAGAATTAATTTACACCTAATGAAACAAATCCAGGAAAGTGCATGTGTCACATCACACACCCATGTACGTTTACTCTTTTATTCATATTATCTGATCATGTTAATGTCATAAATTAAACGGACTGAAAAAGAGGAATTATGTTCTGTTAATTTAATGTGCCGTAAAAGTTCAGATTATCAAAACCTTTTGGAACCATATTTTTGAAGCTCCAGAGACTGTGGCACAGATACAATAAGAACACTGAAAACAAACAAACAAAAAAATCTAAATGTATCTCATTATGATGTACCATTTTCACACGACATTCTTTTCATATTTCCTGCTCTAAAATCACACGCTTTTACTGGGGTCCGGCGCGCGCCCGTGTGAGGACTTTTCTAAGTTATTCCTGTGAGGTGCGCGCGCGCGTGTGTGTGCGTGTGCTGCACTTTACGTGTCATTAAGAGAAGCCCACAAAAGACAGATCGTAACAGAATGTGACAGTGTTCTCCAATTAACGAAGAGCCTCTCCGCACGCGACCGCTCCACTTGACTCCATTGAAACTAAGCGTATCAAAAACACGAAACACGTTCAAAAATATCTGTACATTTCGCGTGGGTCTCCTGCGCTCGTTTGGAGACAGTAATATTGTGCCATCTCCGGGTACGCACTGAATACCGCGCGTCCTTCGTCCCGCTCGCTCTTTAGGCCGCTTTATAAAATACATTTGTTCTATAAATACGGCGCGCGCGTGTGTTATTGAAAGTTATTGAGATAAAACAATTTTCGTGAAGCAGCGCGCTCTTTCTGTTTTCAAACGAGGTCATCCAAATTGGGTACAGAATGCTCCTATTGTTGTCAGTAATACATCTGAGCCAGCGCACACACGGAAGCAATATTACGCACGGAGATCATCGCTATTTGAAACGAATTAAACAATAATTTTGTAAATCTTTTGTCATTCCCTACTGTCTAATTTCCAAATATTATAATGAGATATTAATTGAAAGAATCGTCTATGTGCTAACACTGTCTTTAAATTAAATTAAGTTCGAGAAAGATTTAAGTCTAAGTTGAAGAAGAAATTTCAACAGGCCTTTTCTTCTAAACTCCACTTTCTTTCTTTTTCTTTTTCTTTTTTATTCTTTTTTAATGTAAATTCGTGACAAGCCACGTCTCCTCACTCGATGTTTTGAGGTGCCACCTGTGCCAAAAGACGCAAGGCTAAAGCGTGCCATCATTACGCACGGAACGCCGGTAATGGAATTTGGTTGAAAGCAAGAAAAGAGGCCGCGTCTCCAAGAAGTCTTAAGACGCACACGGAATCCTGGAACAATTATATAAAGAGATACGATTAGAAATGGATCTACTGGCTTGTGTTTTATCAAAATTTAAATTAAGTCTGATTATGGGAGATGGTAAAAGGAAGTGCGCGCGTCAGTGTTTAACCGGTATTCGTGTTTACTCGCCTGACGCGCCGATGACCCCTCTTATAGCTCTCGGCAAAGCGCGCGCACGCACCGAGGGAGGCAGGGAGGAGGGGGGGATTGTGGGGGACGGAGACGTGGCGAGCGTGACCCTGACCCGTGCCACATACGTTCCCGGTATTTTGAATAGTGTCCGCGTAAACGTAAACACGCCGCGCCGTGTTGCGAACACGGCGCGAGCGACCGGAACGGGCGGTCCGCGTTTCCGAAGGAGTATAGCGCGAACGCACGGATACGATTACGCGCGCGGCATCACAACATATGGTCACGTGATCTTTTGGCCCGTGCCGAGCGCTCGTGCGGCTCTCCAGCTCGTTCACGGTTCATTTGGATGTTAACAGACTAAAAGAGGATACTGTAGAAGAAAACACAGACATGAATCGGTGATGGAAACTGGAAAACCAAGTGCAGATCTATACACAGAAGGAAAGCAAGTGCCATTTATTCATTAAAACATAGTCATTTTAAGCTCCATTCCTTGATACACTGCACACACGTCATTACGTACAAAAATATGCACTGCGTAAAAGCTTGTAATAACGCTTTTGTCTAAAATTAACACACAACCTTTCCTTCCTTCAAATGTTACACAGTTTAACACAATTCTGTGAAATATTCCAGACAAAACAATGACATCCCTTTGGAGTCAAGATGTAACGATATCCACATCTCTCGATACGATATTTTCGCAATATGTATCTCACGGTGCGATATTTTGTGGAGGCAAAACAAACAAAACTTATACGCTACTTTTTCCTCTTAAAATGCCTCGACAAGACTTTGGTTCTGTCACAATCCAAAGAATTAAGATTTAAAAGTGCGTAGAACTGTTATTTCTTCATGTAGTTTGCACTGAAATGGAGTAAAGGATCATGGTCGAATGTAGTTCCCTCATTTTTTAACTATTTATTTAAGCGGAGATTCTTAATTCAATGTGGCACAGAGCATCTTTGCAGTCTGAGATTAATATTTTCTGTGCACTCTCCTTGTTTTTCATAAATAAATAAATAAATAAATAATAAAATAAATATATTGTGATGGCCAACAATATTATTGAGCAACATTTCACAATACAATACCACAATATTTCATGTTCATTTCATGTTCATGTTACTGTGACGCTTGTACTATGGAGAAGAGAAAAAGGAAGACCAGACCTCCACCAGAAAATTCGCGTAATGGATCTTTAAGTACAATATAATTACAGTTTATTGCAAGTTTTTAAGCAGGATATTACATTGTACTTAATATGAGTTAGACATTGTGTTCTAGATTTGGATGATTTTGTTTCAGATGGAAATAACTCCACTAGAGATTGACTGTTTTTGGAAGAAATATTTCAAATGAAAATCGACAAATGTTGAAACGCAGCATTATTTATCCACAAACTTGTTACGCTTTTAACCGTGCTATGGTTATTTCCTTCGCAATGGCCCTCTGAAGTTGTTTTCGGAGAGTTTCATGCGTGTTTGAGTCATTTTTATTCTCACATATTCAAGACGTCGTTGCACCGATCTACCTCCGTTTTCACCTCCACTGTTACACGTCCACTGTGACGTACTTCGGTAGTTTTATTTTCTTAATCTGTGAACATACGATTCACCAGCATCGTGTTGCGAAGTAACTGAAAACATGTACCGAGAAATCTTCGTAACTGTATTCCGGTACATTACTTTTTCATTTCATGGTATTCAGATCAGACTACAGTTACTTTTCTAAAATTGAAGGACTATGTTATCGTATTTGGTCACAAAATTTATGCTTCAGAAGTGAAAAAAATCCGCAGCTCTGCTCTTGTAGTGTCGTGTGCGTGATTCGTCCATGATAGAAAATGTTTTAAAGACAGTTTTAAGCTAATTTAAAATTGTTATCGATACTATGTGACATTTTAACATCATAATTTAAAAGCAAATCGACGTAGAAGTATTCAAAGTATTCAGAACGCAGTACTCTGATTGGACCATGTACCACAGACATGTCAAACTCAGGCCCGGGGGCCAAATTTGACCCACGATATAATTATATTTGGCCCGTAGGATCATACCAAATCTATATTAGAGATGGTCCGCCAGCTACAGATCGACTATAGAGACATTATTTATTTAAGATTTGCTTGTTATTTTATATTCTGCTTGTTCTGGATTCAGTGTTTAAGCAAAACTATTATTAAACATTTGTTTTAATAAGAAAAGATTTAACATTACATATCTCGAATGAAGAGAAAACATGCAGATGTTGTTGAAATTTTTCAATAAATATTTAGTTTGGCGCACGACTTATTCCTACTTTTTAATTTTGGCCTCTGTGAATTTAAGTTTGACTCTCCTGATGTACCAAAAGGCGTTACAAAAGACATTTTAATGCAGGTATTCAGGATTTTGTAACTAGACACATTTTCAAAGAGCGGCCAAGAAAGGAAGAGAAACGAAGGAAATCAGCAGTTTTATTTCTTTAATTAAAGGTTGTATAGAGGATTTTCCAAGGAACGAGAAATCCAGCGACTGTTTGTCCTTTTTCAAATGTTGCGCATGCGTGAAACCACCCCCCTCCCCTACAGCTCCTACGTAGAAACGCCTCCTCCCTCCTCCTTACGCCAGAAACAGGTTTGTTTACAGCCGGTGCTGCACATGACTTGTAAACAATTAACTACAGTGTTGGTTAGGCAAGACGGGAGAAGTGAGGAGCGGGGGGAGGGTGCGGACATTTCGTGTGCGGACGAGAGAAGTGAGGGAGGGAGGGAGAGCGAGAAGGAGAGAGAGAGAGGAGAGGGGAGAGGGGGGAGCGGTGCGCGAGATTCCGTGCCCGGAGAAGTGAGGAGCAGGGGGAAGAGTGGAACGGGCAGCGGGGAGAGGAGCAGGAAAGGGGAGCAGAGAAGAGTGCACGGAGATTCAGTGCGAATGAACTAGCTACAACACGCAGCAGCAAGCGGACTCTTTCTTTGCCTTGAAAATTACGTTTTCAGACACAGGATATCGCTTTCGTGTCCTGAAAAACGTTTGTCTAACTCTTGGAAATAAAGTACGTTTTCATAATAAGCAGAAGTTTCCTGTCCAGGAGTAATTTGGCGACCAGTGCGTCAGTCTTTAGACCCTGCGTCTGCTTCAGTTGCGCCATCGCTGGAATGAAT